CCGCACAGCAGGGTGACACCACCTCTCCACCAGGGCCGTGTGCATACAGCAACAAACTTCCACTTCCTTTCGCTTTTCAAACACCCCGCAGACAAGAGGAAAACACAAACTGTCCAGTTCAAAAGCCTCAGCTCCCCCAGCCTGCTCCCCTCATCCCCTCTTCCCAGGCCAGGCCTATGAGCGCAGCGTGTGGGTGAACTGAGGCAAAGGCCGGAGCAGCCACAAGCAGGAAATGCAATGTTAACATGGTAACACAAACCAGGCAGTATGTCCACGTAAACACCCACACCCTGCCGTGCATTAGCTTGAACCACATTTCTGTCTTCCCCCACCCAGAGGGGAGCAGCAGGGAGCCCCTGCATGAAATAAACGCGCACAAGACCACTCTGCCATGTGTCTCCCAGCTGTCGGATAGCCTCCTCCATCCCCCCCTGCCCAACCCTGTCCTGCTATCTGCTTCCCAGATCTTCCCCTTCCCAGCTTCTTACCGCTCCCCTGATGAAGAGCTCCTATCTCACAGTACTATAAATACACCCTGTACCTTCAGCTTGGCTGGGTGGCTTAAATAAACGCGCACAAGACCACTCTGCCATGTGTCTCCCAGCTGTCGGATAGCCTCCTCCATCCCCCCCTGCCCAACCCTGTCCTGCTATCTGCTTCCCAGATCTTCCCCTTCCCAGCTTCTTACCGCTCCCCTGATGAAGAGCTCCTATCTCACAGTACTATAAATACACCCTGTACCTTCAGCTTGGCTGGGTGGCTTCTCTGTGCCTGCCTCCCTGGCACAGCCAGGCCCCTCTGCAAGGGAGAGAGCTCCCAGGACTGCCAGCTGGCTGGAATTTCCTGTGCTGCTGCTGCTGCCTTGGCCTGGCCTGCGGGAGGGGCATGCGAACGAGAACTGGACAAAAGCGACGGTGACCAAAGGGAGCTCTCACAGTAGCCCAGGACAATTGCTTTCCATGAGAATAGCCCACAGGGCACTATTAGCTAACAAGGCACAGCCCCAGCTTGGAAGCTAAATCCAATTTTTCAACTGGACTCTGTATCTTCCTTAGCTATGCTGATTGGCGGCTCTGAGAAAAGGTGAAATGGGACCTATTGCCCCTCCCCCCCTTCACCAGAGCAATCCTGCATCTGGAGGTTTAAAGGGTCCACAAAGCTTCCAGGACACATGGATTCACCCCAGACCTGCCCAAATGTGATGCAGGCCCATCTCCAGTCACTAGCACAGTTTTGTTTGACCTTTAGTTATAGATCCTTTGCTGGACCCCGAGGAGGTCACTTAAGATTGGCTGGAGACACAAAAAAGTAAGGGAGAAGGACAGAGGGACAGTCTTGCTAAGCCCAAATCATTCAAAAATCATCTGTTAGTCCCCATTCCCATCATCAAAAGAGCAGCTTTAAAAAAAATCAAGACACTGGCTTAACAATAATGCAGGATTTCTTCTGGTTTTTTTTTTTTAAATAACTCATATGGGAGTTGTTATTATACGCACTCTGCGTTAGAAATCTGTGTTACAGAGAGCACGCAGGCCATGTTTTCAGGATTTCTCCTCTGTAACCACTAGGAGTAGAAACTTACTACTAAAAAAAACAAAAAAAACAAAAAAAGAATGCTAAGACTCCTGTGCAACCACCTGACTCCTGGAGCTGGGGCTTTAAGGAATACATCAACTATCTTAAGAATTATGATAAAATCAGAAGAGCTGCCAACACCAGCCCTGAGGCAGGGGAGCAGAGGACTGCTACCTTTTTACAGCATGGTTAATGCTCAGCCCTCTGAGTGCGTTTCAGGCTGGGCATATGGAAGGAAGTTCCTTGTCTCAGTCCTCTCCCTCTCCCGCCAGGTCATGGTCACCTGGCCTGTTATGCCCAGTTCTCATGCTGTGAGAGACTCACCCTGAATATTTTCAGTGAATATTCTCATCCACTGGTGACTGTGTGTTACCCCCTTGATGCCAATTAGAAATGTTAAAAAGTGGTTGTGTAACAATGTAACCACTGGAAACCTCAGCGGTTTCACAGTTACATGCACCTGCAGTAGGGGTGGCAGCTGGCTTCCAGCGCACACCAGCTCCCACCTGCTGGCCCCGCTCTCAAGGACGTGGCTGGGGCCCCCATGCTGCTGCCACTGATACACAGCCAGCAGCATGTGGTGGAGGGGGCTCCCCAGAAGTGGGGCAGGAGCCTGCATATTACCATTAACGGCAACCAAGAAGCCCAGGCTTACTGATTAACCGTGTAAAAGAGCATACATCTCTAATGCCAATACACACAGAGGATACAAGTGGCTCCAGAGCCTTGGCTCTTTTGCTCATACTTGCAGCAGCTCATGCTTTTAGCCCTGGAGGTCCCCAGTTCAAACCCCACCTTGCCAGGTGATGGACTGTCATATAAGCACTCGCACTCCTGGACCCGCCCCCCCCCCCCCCCCCCACCCCCCCCCGCCCCCCCGCTCCT